TGGAATTTTGTTGGTGCACAGCAGCTGCACCCAAATGGCTGGGAAAGAGGTCAGAGACACAGGGTCTCCTACAGAAATGTAGGATTCCCCAGCATGTGTCTGGAATCATGACAAGATCAAGGCAAAATTTATTTGCAGTCTGGATATAGACAGACACTGCCATTTGGTAGTCCTTGAATGACCCTGTCCTGGAATGTTAGAGCTGTAGGTAAAAACCATCAATCTACCATCTTCTCCTTTTTGATTTTTTATAAGTCATTCAACTCAGGACATAAATTTTTACCTCATATGCTTTTGATAGAGCAGCTAAAATTTTATTCAATTATAGTTGCCAACAAGATATGGAGAAAGACTTTTCCTTTCTTGCCTCAAAAGCATGAAGAATTTTTTTAAGTGCCTTTTGGTATGTAGAGTGATTATTAAATTCTATAAGAAAACTAGATTTATGTAAATAAAACATTAAAACAATTAAAATATAATAATTCACTAAGACACTAAAGAAAGCTCTGCATATCTGTCCAAATAAGTCACTATCACACAGAAAAACCAACAACTGCCTTTCATTTGCTGGCAGGATCACTAAAGGACATAATACTCTGGTGATTAACTCAATCTCAACTGATTTCAGAAACATGGAAGTTCAGATCACAAATAATTTAGTAAATATGAAGGTGATTTTGTTGATTCAGTCAACATCAAGAACTGCAGTTTAATATTCTTTATTGCTTACAGACAAACTATGTTATTCATTCACCAGATATCTGATGGAGACTTGAAAAGCAATGAGATAACCACTGAACTCTCTCAAAAACAACCAGAAATCTCAATTTAAAAAAAATCAAGTCTATTATTTTATTTTTTTCTTAGTTGAGATCAGATTAGATAATTTTCATACACCTAGGAAAAAAGATAGATATTGTATGTTTTCTATTTGTACTTCTAGAAGAGAACATTAGATTACTAAATATTTCAGAAGCCATTTATTCTTAGCAGTCAACTTGTGTTTTTTTAAACCTTGGCAGAAAAGCAAACATCATTTGTGATACATGTTAGGAACTAGTAAACTAATTCACTATTGACTTGATTTTACAATTTATAGCAGATATAGTCTCACCCTACACAGAGGCACATGTAGCTAACAAACAGCTGAATTTGCCTGTCTCTTGATGTGGGAAAAGGCCTTATACATCTGAGCTCTCTCACTTGCAAGAACAGGTAAGCCTTTTTCAGAGGCTACAACCTGAGGTGCTGACCCCGGCTTTCTACTGGAAGTTAATGCCCTGTAAGCAGGTGCAGCAGAACAGCTGCTCAGCCCTGGCAGTTCACAGCCTGTGGGTCAGCAGAGACCTCACTGATTTGGCCCCCTGTGCATCCATGGGGCCTGAGCAGTTATGGATGGTACTTGCTGTGCTGCGTGGACTCCAGTCATCATCCAGGGCACTAAGGAAAAAAAAAACTGAAGGGCTGATAACTGAAAGAAACAGTTCACATTAAGTGGAGTAACACAGGTAGTGTAGCCCAAGGAGAAAGTTACTGGACTAAAAATTGACCAGAAGTCTTTTGAAAATGCAATGAAAGAAATTATTTTTCTTGTTAATTTTCCCTCTCTTCGAGAAAACAGGACTTTCCACATAGACTTCATTGCTTCAAAGGACCATCAAACTGCTTCATCACCAGTTAATTCATCCAGGAAAGACAACGAAAAAAACCTCTAAAGGGCTCCGAATTTTGGCTAAGCAATCAGGTTTAAAAAATGATAATATTATTTTGCTTGACATAGACTTATCTTTTTCTTCAGGTACATAGAACTCTGGCATAAGCATTGTATTTGAAAACAGTTAAACTAACACTAGAAATTTGTGTAAAGTCAATTAAGATCTTGAAGCTGACAAAGAAGGGTAATGGCTATGTATTTTGTTTTAGAACTTTATTTGAACTTTCTTACTTTTTCAGAAATTTACTTACACATCTACCATATGTGAGCCAATACATCATTCAGGGACTTCAGTTAATGTATAAAGGATTCAAGGTCTATGTAATGTTGTAGAAAAAACAGTCTGGAACTATAGTAGGTAAAAGTGGTTTGGAAATTGTATGGAATATTAAGTTAGAAAAACAACAGCAAACCTTAGAGAAAACATTTTTTATCCTAAAAGAACATTACCAGAAACATTCCTGAGTATTAATTTTCTGACAACTTTGGGCTGTTCTTGCAAATTGCAGTGTGATGTATTAAATAAAACTAAACTTTGTGCTGGTCACGCTTAATAAACTGTGTCACAATCTGTAATAGTGCAGCTCCTTGCAAAGGAGCTGGTCTTTTCTTCCACTGGGAGCACCAGCTCCTGAGAGAGGGATGAGAGGCACCCAAGGAAAGCCATCTTCTGGCTACAGTGGTTCCCTGAATAAAACTGCTGGTGTAAAAACAACAGGTATTGGGTTGCTTAAATTTTAGGAAATTACACATCTGCTCTCTGTGATCTTAGCCACTTCAGCTGTCTGATACTAAGAGGAAGGATGGGAAGAACTGGGCGTATCTAAGATATTTATCTGTCATTTTCACCTTTGTCTCTTACACCACAAACACCACTTTTATGGTGATTTTTTCAGTCTTTAAGCAGGAAGAAATAATTTATTTCTAAGGATGGTTCCTAGAGATCCATCTCTTTAGAAAGCTATTTTCAGAGCTATTTGCTCTGATATTAAAATCTTACTTTGTTTGAAATTTTAATAATATGAACTTTAGAATATACTCATGATTTCTTTTGTCTAACTTTCAGTTAAAAGTAAGCCAAATTCAAGTTTCCTTGATTGACTCTTAGGTAGTTATTTCCAAGAGGTTTTCAATGTGTGTATAACAGTTAAATAGAGGTAAGATAATCTCTCTACATACAGCTAATAAAATACTTTAAGACTGAAGGAAATGAATGCTACCTCTGCACAACTAAATATATTCTTTAGACAAGAGAGACTAATGTCTGCAGTTGAAACAACAGCATTAGAGAAATTCAGGCCAGGAAGAGTGGATCTATTCTAAAGCCCTCTGAAATCAATGAGGGGCTTTGCTTTAACTCCTCTAGGCTTTGGCTCCAGCCCCAAGTAATTATTCAGGTTGGACTTTGGCCACTGATACTAACACCATCTGCTTACAGAAGGTACCATGAAGTCTATAATTAACACAAATTGCAAAGATCTCCGTACAATGTCTTATCTAAAAAATGGCACCTTTGAGAGTGCATTGTTGATGTACACTTTGCTGAGGACCTCACTCCCTGCCATCTCACAGGGAAAAGTGTCATCTACTGTGTTGCCAGCACTACCTTTTCAAAATATGGCCAAGTTTCAAAGCATTGATTTTCTAGTTGAAGTTCATACGCGAATATATGAACCAAGTTTTATTTGTATTGATGGTCTTGAATAAAAATAATAAATATGTAAAAAATAAAAGGAAAGGGAGCAGAAAGGCATTTTTGTTTGCCAAAATAAAACTTGAAAGAACAATATAATACTCATAAAAGGCAAAGAATAATGTAATTTGTGTGTAAAATGTCTACCTAGAGAAAAATACAGTCTTACTATCAGGATTGGATTTCTCACTATTTTCTATTTTCACCTTTTCACAGAATGACTGAGGCAAAGCGTTTAACCTTACTTTTCCTCAATTTCCACATCTGTGAAATTATATTAATACTAATTGATCTGGCAGGAATTTGCCATCCTAAAATACTGCTTTGAGGTATTCAAAGGGAAGAGAGTACATCGAACTGCAAACCCTTGGCCTTATTGCACACCACCTGGCCTGGATAGTAGCACATGCTGTGCAGGGCCATTGCTTTGTTGCACATCAGTGTCATTAAACACCACTTTTGCAGCACAGGCCAATTCATTGAGAGTGAATAAGGTGTAGTCCCTTTTTCACCTATAATTCACACTTTCAAGCCAAAAGTGAAAAAGATGTGTCTGTCACCAGACGATGAGTGTGTCTGGAGGACTTTAAATATTTTTTTCTTATTTTAAGGATTAATGAAGTGCTGGCTGAACCCTGCACAGTGCTTAAAGACATGTTTAACTTTAAGAATCTGAGCAGACTGATGGACTTCCTTGGGAATACTGATGTGCTTAAAGTATGTGTTCAGAATGAAATCATATCCTTCAGCATTGTGTGGGGTCATGCGACTTTTGTTTGTGAAAGTGAAGGAATGCTCTCAGATTTTACTCCTTCTACAGGGAATCTTCTGGTTGTTCAAGACTGGGATCCTTGACATTTTACACTCCTGATTTCTCAGCCCAGACTCATATATGTGGTCTGCCTACAATATACAGGATCTGGATCTACACTGATGTTCTACCATTATCTGTTTTCCTGTGCTGAGCCAAAAATGAATTCTATAAATCTTGACTTTAAACATCTGACTTAAGTAGCACTGATTTTTCTTTTTTTCCACTAACTATATCTAGCAACTTTTATGTACATAAGTATGAAAATAACTAAATTATTCTCTTCCAAAAAATAAATTTAGGTGAGTAGCTGCCTTGCCACAACCTCCTACGCTGCTAAAAGGCATTACTTTGTGAAGGGCACAAGCTCTCTCCTTACGGGGTCTGCATTGTCTTAGGTGTGTGTCAGATTACAACACTGAACAAGTTTTGCACCTCCATGTGCCACCTGTGGGACATTCTTTGTCAACTTCTCACATACAGCTTGAGTCAGAGGCAGCACCTGCAAGGGCACAAACCTTTGCACTCGGAACTGACTCTCAGTAGATGCGATGCTCTGTTTAGCTATTTACATCATGACTTACTTCTGGTGCCTACTCTACTACCAAAAGTTTCTTACTAGTTCTTTACTAAAATTTACCAAATGCGCAAACTTTGTAAGGACCACAATACAATTATTACTGTGGAGAGAAAGAATACAGTGTGCAAAAGTGGACTTCCTAGGTACAGAAACGCTTAAGAGTGTTGTTGTAACTTATATTATCATGTTTTATGTTTTGCAGTTTTACTAAAGAATGCAAAAAAGGAAGAAGAAAAGCCTTTCAGAGACTGTGCAGATGTATACCAATCTGGTTTTAACAAAACTGGGGTCTACACTATTTATATTAACAATGTGTCAGATCCTAAAAAGGTAAAGACTTGGTTTATTTTCTTCTTTGTTAATATCATGTTGCTCTGGACTTAAAAGAGCATTTAGAGACTTTATTGAAGTTCTCATTCTGCAAAGTATTATATTGGTATAAATAACTTGGGTTATATTCAATCTTTAAAAAAATTACAATAGACTGAGAAAATTATTAACTGTATTATTCCAGACATTCTTCTTTCCCGCTGACAGAGAATTCTTCCTAAGTTCCAACATATACTCGTAGCTGACTCGCTTCCTCCCTCTTGGCAAGCTCAGTTGAATTGGGCTATGACTGCAAATAAATCTGCGATAAAATTGAGAAGGCAATTTGTAAAGTGTGATAATGAGGAAGCTAATGGGAGGGGATTATCTGGTAGCACAGGGAAAGAAATAGCAGAATGAATAGTTTTTAAAGATAAGGATTTACAAAAATCTTGCTTCTGTTGTAGGGAACAGAGAAGAGTGTTTTTTTCTGTAAAGAGCACAATGTACTGAGTGTTAGCACTGCTTGAGATGATGAAGCATTTATAATCCCATTCTTCTCCAAGAAGAGCCTTGGGAGGGTTTTTTCAAGGAAAATGAAACACCAATTTGTAAAGGAGACCAGTTTTTTGGAAGGCTTTTGTTGCTACGGTACCTGAGTCAGTTGAAGTTAGGAACATGAGAGGATAACCTAAGCCTAAGTTATCCACAGAGGAAGGCTGGCTGTCCCTCTGACAAGGTACTATTGGGAGCAAGCCACCAAGGCTAAGGGCTGATTACCTGGGAGAGTGAAATACAGTGATGTCCATAAAGTGGGCCAAAGAGGAGAGAGGGAACCACTTCTGCCTGGTGAATTTATTCTTACTGCAGTAAAATGTTGACCCTGTAAACAGAAAAAGACTGTAACAAATATTTCCAATGTTATTGTTTATAGTAAGTTTATGATCATATTAAGATACGTAAAACTTGTTTCTAAACTGAATTTGGTATTATTGGAGGCCTTTGGAAACCTGTAAATGTCAAGATATTATAGTTTACCAAGGAAGGTGGGAGGGTTCTATGGGCCAAGATCAATATAATTCTGGTGAATATGAATGGAAAAATAATTGACATGACATAAAATACAGAGATCCTTTTAAGTGTTACTGAGCAGGATAAGAAAAAAAAAGCAATTCTGCAGAATCTGTTCCACTCAGAAAAGAGAGGTAACACCTATGCCCAAATTGCATATACCAATTGGCAGTAGCTTTTCCTAGCCTTACTGAAGTTCGTATACCGTGCTCAGAAGCTGGATTGCAATTAAAACCAGTGGTTATCTGAAAGCACTGTGACACCGATGCTTCTGGTATATTTACCTTAAACCCACTTCACCGTCAATATAAGGACAGTGACACAATGGAAGCCACCCTGTGTTTACCCTATATCCCTGTTTACAGACACTGCTATCAATCAATACAGATAACATAACTCAGCTGATATAACTGCATTATGTTTTTCTGGATGGTTCCTGTTTTAGCAAGAAAATGTGGGAGTGTGTGTCTCTGCGCATTGAGGGCATTTCTGCTACCACCTGTTTCTGTCTTACCCTACTGATAACACAGCAAGAGCTGATCCCAGGCATGTTCATGTTAGTCAAGTGAGAAGTGTGATTGCTTTAACAGATGTTTTTTTCAGACATTAAGGTCATTTTAACATTCTCCAAGGTAGTGCTGTGCAGATACCTGAACTAACTCTGGCTGAGATAGCTTCAAAATTGTATCAACTCAGCACTGTGCCAGGACTAATTAGCCCAGAGGCAGCACCATGCAGACACAGTTAGATTACTCTAATATCCTGATAGGTACTCCATGGAGATGTACTTGCTTGTTTAAAGCCAGATTAGTTTTCTGGATTACCACAATGCAATGCACAAACCTGACATGTCTTAAGAGACCTAATATATTGTTACCTTCTGTAATACTCACAGCCACCAGCAACTAACTCATTCAAAGTAATTTTATACATCAGGTCACAAAAATATACCTTCATTTCATTTTATGTTTCCTAAGGGATGCTTTTTAGAATCCGCATATTCAGTAGAAAATACCCTTGTCATATATAAAAACGTTACTGTCAGTTCTAGTGTTTTGTTGATTTTACATTCATATATTCATAGAAAACTATCCTTAATGCATACAGCTCCCTACCATTTATATATCTCATTTTTACATGCTTAAAAATTTAGACTACAATTATTGTTTCATGTTCCTAGACTCAACAGTCCATTAATCTAGTTCATTAGTCTTCCAACCCTGCACCAAAAATTAGTGATTAATTTCTGTTTAAAAGAATCTTAATAATATTTCATTTTTTTGATATGGAAAGAGAAAAATATAGAACTAACTATTAAACTAATTAGTTTGTTTACTTTGATGTGTGTATGTGCAATGTCTGATAATGTGGACAAATGATTGTCCCTGAGCAATAGTGAAAGAAGAGTCCTCTCAGTCCCCTGCAAAGATGGGGTCAGCTATAGGGGAAGCAGAAACTTCTGATGCACACAGGAGCAGTGGGAGTGAGGTTGCCACCATTTTGAAGTGGAAGGAATCATATCACCTTTGGGAGCAGAAGCAGGGCAGGGGTGATGCTCTGACTGTACATGGAACCTCCACATCTCCCCTTCGATCAATGTATTGACTCTCTCACTGTCTCCTCTAATGCTCTCACAAGCATGACTTTTACCAACTTCTGGGTGCACTGCACTGAAAGTGTTATCAATTGCTAGTGAGGTCTATATATTCTGAGTCTTTGTGACTCTGCAAAAGCAACATCCACTGTTGCCATGAATGCGGCCTTCGACTCCTCCCCCTATACTTTCTGCTTGTGGACTTCCTACCAAGGAAGGTAGGAAGCATACCTGAAAGAATTTTAACCCATTAAAAGTATGCTAGCCCCTTATACTGTGGAAACTGGCATTCTGGCATGGTTACCATCAGACTCAGTTTTTGCGTAACAGAAATGCATTCCCTGAATCTCAAATGGCTGGTCTTGAACTTGTCGCTCCATGACAACAATGTAGACTTGTAACGCCCTAGTGTGCATTTACTTAAAATGAAATTTGTGGTAATTCTCTGCCTTCTGTTTACTCTCTTTAAAATTGAGCTTATCTCTGAATGATTATTATAAAGTTTTTTATAATTTAGTTCGTAAAGCTAAAATAAGTAGAAAAAATCATATATTTGCCTTTTAGAAGTTTGAGAAATTTTGCCCATGCATTTAAGGAAGGGCAAGAGTGCAATATTTTGGATGGTCTTTCAATCTGAATCAGGTTATTTTATTAATTATAAACTCAGATTCTAGATATACATGCAAATTCAAAGTCACTTTTCTTTATCCTTTTCTTTTCTAATGGAAGGTTAAGTATTGGAACATGTTAAATGGTGTTTAAATGGCTGAGTGCCTTGACCTTGTCTGGGACAGACAAGTCTAGAGCTATGCACAGTGAAGATCTATAATCAGCTTGGAACTCCTGTTAATACAGCAGTTGTTTCTGTCTACCACTGTGGAAAGTGCCAGACCACACAGTGATAGTGAAAAATGTGCTCCTGGCAAACCTTTCTTTCACTGTATAGTTTTCACTTTCAATTTGATATATTATTCAGAAAACATCGAAGTCTTTTTATAGGTATTTTATTATATTTTAGTACGAAACCCCATAATTTATGTGCACCTTTAAAATGAATAGTCTTAATACGGTTGAGGATTTAATGCTTTAAAAATTGGCAGTGGATTCATGGGAGCTTGCAGTGGCTTATAAATATAGTAAATCCATAATTTAGAAATTCTCACTGTAAATCAAACTAAAGAAATTAAATTCTGTAGATAAATGTTTTGACTCACAGTGTCTTCCCTGAAGAAGGAATAGGGCCACAATGTTTGTCTAGAAAATTGTGGGGTTTCTTGTGGTTACCCTAAGTCAAATTCACATGTTTGGACTGTTCAGTGTTCTATTTCCTTCCTGTACCTTCACAAGGACTTCATTTGGCATGCCTGGTGCAAATTAAAACAAAAGCACTTGCATAGTGTTACTATGACAGCGCTTATTAGTAGGAGAAATTTCAATGATTTTTCCTGAGGGTAGAATATGATTCTCTAGTCAACTGCAAGATAAATTGATATTTAACTGAATTGGATAGTAACCTCGAATTTGTGTAGATCTTAACTTCTGAACTTGTCTTGAACCTGTTTCTATCTATATTCTCTGTCAACTGTAAGGCATCTTAATCTGAGATCAACTGTCCCATTTTGGGACACTGCCTGGAACTGTAGGTAATATTACAATTCAAACCAAAACAAAATAACCTCCTCTGTGCTACATTCCAGACTCCTTGGATGAGTGTTTTCTATAGGAATTCTGAAGATTCTTTCTTAGACCAAATGACACTCTGCTAAAAGCTATAGAAAACATTATTAATACTGAAAGAATTACTCATTTATTAAGAGGAAGAGAGTGGTTTCAGGGGCACTGCAGTGAAAATAGAAAAGGAACATAGAGTTAATGGGAAAGGGAAAGCTGAAGATGTAGAGGGGAATGATGGGGAAATGTTCTAGGGTAATGTGCTGAAAGGACAGGGTTCCCACATAAGCTTGTTTTATTGGTTGTTTGGGGGGGTGTTTCAATTTATTTATTTATTTATTTATTTACTGTGTAGGTCTTTTGCAATATGGAAATTGCAGGAGGAGGATGGACAGTTATACAACATCGAGAAGATGGGAGTGTGGATTTTCAGAAAAGCTGGAAAGAATACAAAATGGTAAGGTGAAAAATGTGCAATAGCTGTACAATTCATACAATGTCAGATTTCAAATACTACTTCCTATTGTCTTAGGTAGACAGTTCTGCTTATAGTGATGTGGTGTGGTCCTGCAGTTTTTATGAGCTACCTTTTTTCATGTCTGTTACTTTTGAAAATGCTTTTTACTCAATTAGTGGAGTGTTATTTCCCATGTCTTAGAGTTTCTTTGAGATCAGAAACTGAGATATAAAAGATGAGGTGAGGCCAGAATGCAGCCATCTGTCTCTCTGAAGTTTTGACTTGCTGTGACGTTAAGTGGTAATAGGCATGTGACGATGTTTCTAGTGTTTGGATGTTTTCAGCTAAGGGGAACTCCTTCAGAACTTGGAGTACCTCAGACAGGAATGAAAATCCTTACTGGGGTTTATCCCAAGTTATACAGCACCTCTGCCAATCAATTTCATGTACTGGAAATGTTGATACTTCAAATAGGATTATGAGAAAATAAATAAGTTACCAAATTAAATATGACATGACTTCAAGAAGTCTGTTTTCCTTTTGCCAACTCAGAAAAATTTACTGCAATCTAAATAACTGCTCATTTTTTTCATTTGCTGCCTGTTCATACTTTCTGATGGAGCTCCTTTCTCTGAGTCCCTGAGGACTGGCTTGGACTACAATGACATTCCTAGTGAAATTTTCAGTACTGTGTTATCAGTGTGGCAGCGAAATGTCTTTTTTCTACAGTTTTCAAAAAACACTAAGTGAAGAGAGCATTTTAAATGTTTTAAAAAAAAAGCAAGTTCAATTCAGTAAAAATTTCTGCGGGAAAAAGTTCTGTTACAGAACTTACAATTTCAGAAATAAACCTAATATATTATTGAAGCTAAATCTAATTTTTGATTTTATGGATGCTTTTAAAATATTTTTTTATTACATGAAGATATAAATTATAAAAAATAATAATTTGGATCAGACACTGCTCCTGTGGGTAGCTAGAGGATATAATCTGTTTCATAGTATATATCAACTAAAAGTAATGTTAAAATGACAAGAAGATATTTTTTAATAGAATTGCCAAATTGGAAACTTTTTTTAGAATTCATAATGTAGATAGTGTAAAAACTGTTTTACTTGATTTTGGTGCAGAATCAAATAAAATATAAAACATCAATTTATTTTGAGGGAAACAAAATTTGAAGATCCTACCAATTTTAGTTATGAGGAAATTAGAATTTGTATGTGCAACATAAGTAATTCACTACATATGGATTTTCAATTTATACATATCACAGTAATTGAGATTTTCTGATTTTATCTCTTGTGGTTTTTCTTAGCAGTTATATAAATACAGCCCTTCTTTGTAAAGTTATCCCACGTGGTCTTTTTCATATATATCCCTTCATGTAGTCAAAGATTTTCCTCTAATTTTCCTCTACAATAGTGTGAACCTGTTCAGAATTAGATTATATTGGTTTTGTGTAGTTCAAGCAGTCTGAACTAATTTAGCTTCTCTTTAGGAATGATATAATATTCTAAGACATCATTTGCTTCTATCAAATAAAAAGGATCTATTTCGGACTTTTATTGATATCTTATCCTATAAGTCACGAAACAAGATAGGATTTAGACTTGCTCTGCTTCTATGAACCATTTATCCAAGTAACTATCTTAGGCCCCCTTCAGTAGTTATCATATCACACCAGATATTGAATATTGAGTGATAGAAGCTGATGGATGTTCTCTATATTACTGGGATATGTGACAGTGTTTGGGCTTCAAGGCAATAACACCACTGATTTAATTCCTTGATTGTTCAGAAAAGGTGCATGGTGTCTGTTGGACCACATCCCATCTCCTTCCTGGTGTTTCTTCCAATGGAAAGTGGTTTGTGTGGTGGGGGATACAATAGTACTTGATCTTACTTGAAGTGGTTGAACTTAATATGCATTCTCTCAGCCTGTACTTCAGATGCAGCTTTCCAGATTTGTTAAGATCTTCTCTTTGTGTTCATTTCTAATAATTTCATCCTAATATAATAACAGTAATAATATGTCTCTGGGGCTACTTTTATTTTCAGTGCATTTAGTTCTTATTGGAAAAGAAACTGGAAAATTGTTGAATCTTTTAAGTTAAAGAAAGTACTGATTGCCAGCTTCTGAGCTGGACAGGATTCCAGGCCACCAGTCAGCTCTACCACTGGAGCCCTCACAATTTATTGACTGTTCCAGTTTCAGGAGGCTGTTCAGATATGCTCTGACTCTAAGATGAGATCCTTACTTGGAAAGGATGCACGTGGAATAATCTCTGCAAGGATGAGTGACAGCAGTGCTGGATTACAAGAATCACCTGAAAACAAGGCAGTCATTGTCTTTGATGCAGTTTCATGCTGGTACTTTCAGCTTACATGGAAGTACTTCAATTCCTATTCCAGACACCAACACAGGAAATAGGTTAAGTCAGAGATAAAGTAGCCATAAATCTTTTGAAAGGAGGAAGTATACAACTTCATCCATCCATAAATTGCTACAAAGTCAGTGCTACTACAGCAATAGGGGTACTAATTTTTCCTCCTTGTTCTTTTGGCTCTATTTCCACTGGCATTCAATCTCCACTCTGGAAAACAAAGTTACACTTTCCTCAGTATCTAAACCAATAGGTAATAAATACAAAAGCTTTTCTGCAGATTTACTGTTATGCATGATTGGTTATACCACCTTCTTGTTTAGGGGCATATGTGCTTAACAGTATTCTTCAGTTTTGTTATTAATCTTTCACTGTGCAGTGTATTTTGCACCTTTGAACTCATTTCTGACTATGAAACCTCTTGAGCCATTTCAGTTTTGTACATTCAGTAGTAATCGGAATAAATTCAGAGGAAACCGCTTAAGTTCATCCTCCCATCCTTTTCTTATCAGTACCTACTACATCTGTTCTGCCCCATTTTGCAATGAATTTTCTGTTATACTGCTTGTTGCTTATTGGAAAAAAATTGAAGTGAAACAATGAATAATTTCTATAACAGCAGGTAAGATCACACTGAAGCAAACTTCAACCCTGAAGCAAGTTTCAACCATTTTTCATATTTCCTTGCATGAGGAGGGAATATAAAACACTATTAAGAGTTTTGATCTCTAGAGGAGAATATAATTTAAAAAACTATTGCTTGCCATCTGCAAATCTAAAACCCTTTTAGAAGGGGGGTTTTCCACGAGCTTACTTTCTAAGACATGGTTTCTGGCACTTATTAGGCAGTCATTAGCAATAATGAAATCCAAGTAAATTGTTAGTTCATGTGCTAACTTGGCTATCAAATCTTCTTGATAATTTTCCAGTTTTCAGTTCTTGGATGAATGTACCTTTCCCAGTGACTGTCTCCATTTTTGCCAAATTAGGTGATGGAGTATTAGATTCCCTATTCTCTAGCCTTTTAGCGTGTCTAGTTTAATAATTCCCATGAAATTCACAGTATTTTTTCCACACTTGATAGCTCAACATTCACTATCAGCTTCTTAGGGGGGCTTCTTAGGGGTCAAGTCTATTGAGGGCTTCCTCAGACCTTTAAGATTACTTTCTTGCTTTCTGTCATCGGATAAAAACTCTCAATAGGTATTTGAAATTGCATGCCTTGGCCAGCTCACAACAATCTTTTTTCTAGCAGGTTTTTTTTTTTCCCTGCATGTCAGTATTTAATTGTACTGTCTGTCTTAATTGCTATAGTATTGCTATTTTCCTTTCACTGATGAAGGAAAGCTATCGCTTTTTTTTTGTTATTTATAATGTCATGAGCTAGATTAGGATCACTTGTACATAGTAGACTTTGAGATGAATTTCTAAGTTTTATGGCAACAATCTCCTACCTTTCTGATCAGCAGCTGTTTTTTCATTTGATTTCTTTGAGGCAAGAATGATATTCAGTGGTAAATTCCACATTCTTTTAATTTCATGTTCCTGATTAACATCAGAGTCCAACAACAGTTCAGTGCTTAAAACAAGTCTGCTGCCAACTTGTTTCAGAAGTCATCAATAACATTCATGTGTGCCTGAAGAGCACAAAATCCAGAAGAGCTACAAAACCACTTCCATTTCTGGTGAGGTTTCTTCTTTTTCTATTCTCCTTAAAGCTGTTTTGTCAAATTGATGGCTATCTCCATAGTACCAATGCTCTTCTATAGCTTAAATTCTTCACAGACCGAGCCAGACCACAGAGGTAGTCACCAGAACTTTCTCAGGAAGTATTTCTGGATGCAATTCTCGTGGGTATTTCTATCACGTTATCTGCAACGATCTGACTTTCCTTTGACTCTCAGTAAATTTTAGCTAGTATGTCAAGTTTTGACATCCGTGTCTTCTGCTTACTTAAAAAACAGCTGAAAACCTCTTTGAACTGTTTGACATATTTCCTACAGTTCACTTCTCTGAGTAAGCTCTAGTTTGGACATAGGTCCCACTCATTTTCTGGAAGACCTTCTTGTTTGTGACAGTCAGGCTGTTGGTGACCACATACTTTCATCCCACTAGTCCTTGCAAGTCCTACATGCTTGAATTATACATAATAAGAGCTACCATTCCAACAAAGATTTTATTTCTTAGTACCATTGTTCAGTTAATTCCAAAAATTTCCAGATGCTATATTTAATTTTTGTTTGCAAAGTGTTAAACTTCTGTTTTAGAATGTGGCCTCCTAATTCTTTTTACTCCATCTCTTGTGAGCCTTATTTTATTTTCTCTTGTGAAAGTTTCAGGTCCATTTTTCAGTTTTGTTATCATTCTTACTGCCCACCTTTCTTGCCTTTAAACTCTGACAGGTTTTTTGTTCCTAATTGCTTCAGTAGCAATACTAAGTTGTATATTTTTCTCATTCAAGATAGGTCTTCACCATTTTGTGAAGTTAATATTGTGTTTGACTTGAACAAAGAGACAAAACCTTGAGCTGTTGTACTGTTCCCTCTTAGAGCATTAATTGGTGATGGATATTTCTCTGTTGTAGTTTTACCCATTTAAAAATAGTGTTCAGG